TGCAGCATATAAAAGAAATTATAACTAAACGGTTCTGGTTTATTTTTACTTAAATTTCATTAGTATTTACAGTACTAATGACATTTAATAACTTTAACTATAATCATATTCATTCATAAGTATTCAATTTCGAGTATTTTATTTAATCTTGATTACACAAAAACTACAAAAAAATATCTTTTTCTTTTCTTCTTCTTTTTCAAAAAATATCTTCTTCTGCAGTTCTTTTTGTTTGCATTTTTGCAAGTAGATGATTGCTGCAATAAATGGATTGAATTGAACAAGCGAAAATCTGAGACGTTGTTATCGCAACAATTAGTGTCAACCTTTTAATGTCAATCTTAAAGCACAATGTGTTTAAAGCTGTATTAATTTTAATTAGCATGACACGTTAAAATCCGCGAAAGGGTCGAGTATAGGAATATACACTATACAGTCGTGGACGAAGAATATCCTGGCTTAAGATCTTAAGGGAATGGTTTGAATGCAGTAGTGCAGAACTTTTTAGAGCGGCAGTCAACAGAATCCGCATAAACACGATGATTTCCAACCTTCGATAGAAGATGGAACTTAAAGAAGACGTCGTGGTGGAAATATAATTATTTTTGTAATGTAAATTTATGCATTGTGTAAGAGAAATTAATATGAGGGATTCTAAACTTAACCGGATCAATATTTGCACATATATAAAACGGCTGTGGTTCTTTGGAGTCCCAAGATAGTCTCTAGGCTAATTTAGGAATGCTGAGGAGAACTCGATAAACTGGCGGATCATAACTGTGTCAAAATAGTACTGGTACCACGCTATTCGAAATGCATCGCAACAAAAGAGCTGATGAAATTTTCAGAACACTATCGATTAAAAAATAACAAAATAGTTTGATCCAGAGGCAGCCCTAGAAGTCCCAAAAAACAACGCTGGCGACCGGAAAAAAGTTTAGATACGAACTCTCTAATAAAGTAGTCCCGATCATGCGCATGGTAATATACATTTGACGGATATGTCCTTAAAGGGCTAAAGTACTGCAAAAAACGAGCAGGAATTAGCTCAGAATCATAATAGTCTACCTCACTGTACATTCACCAGTCAATAACACATATACTGAATACAATACGGCTGTGTTCTGAAGACTTAAGCTGAAGACCCTTTAGTAAAGAACCTGAAACAGGCATTCTTGCTACAGGCATTCAATAAAGTTATCAATATTCCCAATAAACTAAAATATGAGAAACAGCTTGCAGCAAGTTAAATTCTGTTAAAGAGTCCTAATATATATATATATATATATATATATATATATATATATATATATATATATATATATATATATATATATCAGAAAACAAATGTGCTTTCGAAAGAAAGTAAGGTTACAAATATTGGAAATGCGGTCATAATTATAGAATAAACATCACAATGAAAGTACTTACCCCAAGAGAATTTGTAGACCATAAAATAAGTCTAATAATAATTTTTTCCTTCTTTTATAAATATCAAAAAAAAAACAAAAAATAGTACATTGTTTACCGGGTAGGAAAAGCTTAACATTCCTGGACGACTGTGAAGATTGCTAGCAACACAGAGTCCAGGAATGTGGCTTTTCCTACGAGGTAAACATACTATTTTTCCGCAAATCGTTTAAAATTCGACAGATATTGATTGATTAAAAAAAACGCGATAATTTTATTCCCAAATAAATAGTGCTTTGAAATTCCTAATAAAATTACTTGGGTTACTATGGAAACGTATTGAGGTTGAATTGTCAAACTTGTATGTAGAACACTAACAACTGTACGGAAATATCATTTCCTTACAGTAAGGAAGTCCTGACTTTTTCTTCAAGAAATTTTGACAGGAATGTCAAAATTTCCTGGCGATTTGCGGAAAATAATATTTCCACTACATTAGAAAATTTAACTGACAGAAAGTAGTGGGCATAGATAAATAATATAATATTAGAAATAAATAGGCAACTCAATGTATAAATTTCCTTCATTGGGATCCCTTGTGGCTGGGGTCATTACTAATCATCTTTTGGAGGGAAATTCAAATGGACACCCCTTACATGCATAACCGTTAGCGCCTTTTTTGGGGTATTTCGTTACTAATTAAAATTTAATAAAAATAAGAGTATATAAAAGATAAAACAGTTTTTTATATACGATACACGATATACTTATATTTATTTGTTGATTAAGATAAAACAGTTATAAACTAATTGCATAATATTTATTACACATATTTTCAGAAACAAATGTTAAATAATATTATTGTTTGCTTTCTGACAACTTACTATCATCATCCTTTTTGTATTTTTTCCATAATTTGTACAAAAGGGAACAATACAATAATTCACCATGTTTAGTTTTTTTACTAGCACAACACAAAAATTCTTTGCTACAGTAGGTAACTCAAACTAAACTTTAAAAACTAAGTAACCAACTTAAATTAAAATTACTAAGAATAAATGCAAACGAAAGTTAGATAATAAAATAAAATTGAAAACTTGTAAACAAACTGAAGATCTGAGAAGATCTGTCATTACGTTTGACAGAATTGACATTGTGGAATTAAGCTTCGTTTGATTATTTTATTGACACCCCGAGACTGTGTTAAAATAAATGATGAGTGATGGGGGAATAGTTCAAGGTCATGCATATAAGTTTCTGGGGCATGGTAGTAGGACTCCTTGAAGTTAGCTAAGATATCATAGGATGTTGCTATTTCATGAAACTAGCTTGTCTGTCAACACAAAACAAAAAGAGAGAGGGAGAATATTTCTTCTACAGGACAGAAAGAAAGAGAGAAAATAAAGACAGAGGAAGAAAAGAAAAACAGAGGGCTCCAACTACTTTTTAAATAAAAAATAGTAAAATTAAAATGAAGATAAAGAAATTAAAATGATATAATTATTTAAATATAAATTAATAGAGATGTGACGTTTATAGCGTTACAACGTTTAAAACGGAATAAGTTATACAGGGTCGCATAAAAATTCTTGCTTTCTGAATTAGAAAGCATCAAGAAAAATGTAATTTCTTTGGATCGTTATAATTTAATTAATTTTTATCCTTTTTTGTATATTTATTGATGCATTTTACACTTTTTTGATAATAAATGATTTTCCTTTCACAAAATGCACTTTCAACTTATTTATTTTGTGGTTATAAAACTATTTTGTTGCCGCATTTTTTATTATGTATTATATTTAATGGAAAAAACTACATTTAATTACAATTGAAATATAATATTTCCATTAAATATAACAGCACTTTTAATATAAATTGCACCTTTGCAATTTTCTGGTTCAGCTTGTTCATCTTATACCTTATCCTTCCATCATTACTTATTGTTGGTTTATTTTTAATAAATTTTACCTATATGTTATATTTTTGATTAATGATTTCCGTAGAAAAAAGGAATTTACTTTATACTTTCTAAACGTACTATTCTTAATATGCAAGTCAAGTTCTATCTCCGAAAGAGATATAAATTACGCTTGGACGAATTAAATAGTACACATTACTTTCTGTTCTATTTGAACTTATTTGTTTATTTGTAAATTGTATTTGTCAAAATTTTTTAATTGTGCTACTAATAATTCCCCAAAGCAAGGTACAATTTAATTTTTGAACATTTATTATTTGCTATATAGGCATATATATGCGTTCGCCTCTATACATTAAACTATCCAATTTAAGTACTATACATGCAAAACATCAACTGGAAACTTACTCATAATTATAATTACCTAATGACACATTTAGGGGCGAAAAGATAGGCCGGCCATTCGCTTTGAAATAATTGTAACGAAAAGTACCAAGGTAATGATTGTATTCCTGAAAGGGTTATTAGCGCCCTTGAGGGACATGTGTACACAGTATGTTTTTACTGATGGTCTGAAGGATGCAGATGGTCATTATCGAATTATATGTACTTTACTGACAGTATGAACTAGTTTTAAATCAGACACCCCGCTAGACCAATTATTTGATCTAAATACGTAAATAGGGGTTAGCGTCGGATTCAGGTCAGAGATTGTAATCAACTAGATTATAGTTAGATTTATAAAAATAAACAAAATATATTGAATTAGTTAATGTTGTAAATAGGAAAATCTGAAAAAATTATACAATTTTTTATTTAAAATGATACATTAATTATTGTATTATCAATTATTAAGGGCTGGGAGTTTCGTTAAAAAAATCATTTTTATCTGGTGTTAAATCGAATATTATTTTTCCTTTTCTTTGTGAAGACTGCGGGAACTGAACCTATTTATCAAACTACTTATCGTTACTATCTTAAAAATCGAATATTAAAGGGAAAATTAAAGAAAAGAGTCTTATTATAAAATAGGTCTAAATAGAGGAAAAAATAAAAAGCGGAATTAGTATAAAAGAGTGAATAAAATTAAAGTCGAAATGCCAATATATTTCGAATATAACTGCGAATGCCCTTACGTCCAACTTCTCGATCGACGATGTGAAATAATTTCTAAATGTGTGGAGTAATAACTTCACTCGACGAAACTTCAAACAATGATTTCTCTTTATGATGTGAATATTCTAATTAGACTACGTGCTCAAAAGCTTTAAACCCCAATTTTTGTAATCTCACAAATAAAGCAACAATTCTTTAAAAAGTCCACGGCCTTGTACCTTGTAAGTTGCACCATTGTACATAGAAGCTTACACAAGTATTTTCCGAACTAGAACCTTATTACACTGAAATTTAGCAATTTATCAAATTCTGGCGGAAGGTGAACTATAACTATATACAGTGAAGTTAAGAATTTCAGATTAATGTGAGATTATAAATGAATGGTTTAATTTGTGATTGAACAGTTACAGCCCATAATTTTAAGGAAAATACTACAATAATAAATTAGTCAAAATATTTATCAAACATATTTCTATGCTTTTTGCACAAGTATTTTATAATTGGCTAATAGATAATACGATATAAGATCCACAAGCACTTTATTATATATTTGATTATGTTTGATGGATACCAAGGTATGTAATATTTTGAATTTTTTGCTGTAGAACAAGTAGGTTCAATAGTACATTGTTTTCTATGAATACCATATAATTATTTCATTGGTAACGGGAATGTTAGCTCATAACATTTATGACCGTTACCACATCGCCTTTGATATTCAGGAAGAAAAAATTCAAAACCACGGCGTAAAGTGCAAAAAATTATATTCCTTAAAAACCGGTTTTAAAAGGTTATTAATGTAGTTAAAGGAGTCGTGTACTATTTTTATTCGGAATAAGCCACAATTTTATTTTAAAATAAGTTTTTTTACACACCGATCTTAACGGTATTTTGTGTATTAAAAAAATTGTCTATCACAAACAACTGGGCTAACAGTCTGCCAGCTGTTGCCAAATCTGAAGAAGCTTAGCATAATGAATTGGATTTGGGACAAACTTCAAAAACACCTAACCAACAAGTTTAGAGTAAAAATGTATTTCTGGCTGTGTGGAGGAATTTCCTAAATATTTAGCTCACTTTACTAACGCTGTACGATGTTTGCAGCTTCTGTCTGATCATCTTGGGTTGCTAAGTTACTGTCTCCAAAGGTTCTTAAAGTAGCGGGGAAAGGAAAAAAATTTTGTGTTATTGGAACCAATAAAATCTTCACTAGATTGTGAGGCTACTTCTCATAAATACCACACCACTAAAAATGTAAAATTGAGTAATGCTTAAGGAGATTGGAACCAGGTGTGAAGATTTTAAGTCTTTCAACATAATATTCTCTTTAAAAGGACACACAATAAAACATATCTGTTGGTAGCTTGTGATGCGACCCTACAAATGTGAATTTATTAAATAGTCTCAAAGGTGCTGGTCCACTGACCAGCTGTGTTATTAGCTGTGTACGTAAATTACCAGCGATACTGCTTCTTAAAAGGCTTAAATCTAGCCCAATAAATATAAAAGATAAAAGTGATTTTGAACATTTAATTCAAATGAAAACAAAAATGGATATGAAAATATATATAAAAGTAAAATATTAACAAGAAATACTACTAATACTAAAACTAATATAAATGTCCTGAAAGCTACGAAATTGTATGTAATAATGTTCCACGCACTAATAAAGTCTGATCTTTTCTTTTTTCGGGCTTTTACCAAGAAATATTATATAAGCTCATAAGACATTTGTCCTTAATGTATCTGCTGGATTCATGGGTATCACTTGCCTAGATATATGCTGCAACTCTGCACTTCGATCTGACAGCTTCCACTAATTTCGCGATTAACCACTTAAAATTCAAACGTACAATTAACGAGTCTTAGAGACCCAAGGAATACTGGAAATATCGACAAACGATACACAAGAGTTTCTGAAATAAATAAACCAAGGAATTTTAAAAAATTTAGTCTAATCAGCTTAATATGTCAGGTATTAATGGTGTTCTAAAGAGTCTGGGATGGAGGTGGGGATGGCGGGTTGAGTATGTTTTGTTTTTTAAGAAACACCCAATATCATGCTGAGCTATAATACCTAAGTGATATTTTGTAGCCTTTATTCCTTTTTGTCATTCTTGTTATTATACATCAGACTAATAAAATTAGTGTTTTTGCTTTTTTGACAGGCATGTTAATTTTCCATTAGCCTATTTTATACGATTTTGCTTTTAAAAAACCGTAACGGCCTTGTTGTTTATTCGCCTCTTTAAATTCACCTGTTACCTGCTTTTACCGAAAGTTTATTGACTCTTAATTTGATTATAAAGGGTAACAGGTGCTTTTGTCATCAATCATTAAATTAATTGCTTCGCCTCCTTCTTTTCCTTGTATAAAGCGTCAGACAAGAACATTTGGGAGGCAGAGAAACTCCCTAATACATAAAACTGTTTACTTTTGACTGTTTTTATTTTCTATCCTAATTTCAACGACACTATTTTTGACGTCCATTGAAAAGAATTAGTTTTTTGGGTTGTTTTTTAATTTTATGGACCTAATGAATAAATTACAGTGGGTATTTTGATGTTAGATGCGAAAGTTTTATAGCAGGTGGTGGTACCTGTTAAGTCAGCTGCATTTATACGGTATTCACCCCTAAAATTGTTTGAATATGTTTTTAACTGACCTTGTCTTAAACAAAGCCCGACGCATAGTTTATGATTGTCAGGAAGTTTATTTTAACTCTGAAAATGCTCATTATCACGTAATGTTAAATTCCGTTAACGAATCGAGAGATGCACGTTTAAGTTCATTTGAAAAAGTGTCTTCTTTATTAGTTTTCAATGACCCTCTAGTTATACTTTGTTTTGCAATCGAGTCTCTATATTCACAATACACAAATATTTTTCAACATTTTTCACCAATTTCTTGCTGGATATTATAACTGCTTTTATCTCTTCTTGTCTTTTTAACAAGTAATATACCATTACAACGTTTTTGATAAATTATAAGTTGAAAATCTCGAAGTTTCGAAGTTGCTCAAATGCGTAGTTATTCTATAACACTTTCTTGCGTTTTGTTTTATTCGAACTTTCCTGGGTATTTTGTCATCATCATCTTGGGCTCGACAATCCTCTGTGGATCTTGGCCTGCTCTAAGATTCGTCGCCATTCTGTTCGGTTTTTGGCAACATGTTGCCATCTTCTGATTTTTAATATTCGTAAGTCGGTTTCTTTTCCATCTAACCACCTAATTCGCGGTCGGCTTTTGCTTCTTTTTCCTACAGGTGTTCCTGTGGTTAGCTTTTTAGCAATGGTATTTTCTGGCATTCGAATTATGTGTCCAGCCCATCTAAGTCGATGTGTTTTAATGAACGTTATGACATCTGGCTCATCAAAAAGCTGATACAATTCAAAATTATATCTTCTGCGCAACTGCCCTTGGTCGTTTACAGCTCCAAATATTTTGCGGAGTATTTTACGCTCAAATATTCCCAAAAGTCTTTCATCTTTCTGCGTTAGAGTCCATGTTTCTGCTCCATATGTGAGGACCGGCCTCAGCAATGTTTTGTATATAATAATTTTAGTTCTTCTTTGAATGTTTCTTGAGTGGAAATGCTTTTGGAGTCCATAGTATGCCCTATTTGTAAGATTTATTCGTCTTTTGATTTCTTCGCTTGTTTTATTGGTAGCAGTCAATAGCGACCCAAGGTATGTGAAGTCAACACGTCCAAAGGTATGACTTCCAAAGACTGTTTCTTGTTTCTCATTTGCTATCGGATCTTTTGTAACCAACATGTACCTACTTGGTTTTGTCCTCGTTGATGACTAGACCGACCTGTTTCGCCGCTGTTTCCAATTCTAGAAGATTCTGGGTATTTTGTATTTATACTTAATTGAGACAATATTTTATTATATTGTAGTACATTGTTTTAGCGTTGTACAATAATTTTACAGATTGCTAACATTTGCAGATAATATATAACCAAGAATTTCTTAAAATTATTTCTTTTAGTCGAACTCACTAATCATCAGTTGCCTATATAATATTACTTCGTCACGAGTTTGTTCTTCACTTGAAAATATAATTATTACTCCTGAAAAAGTTAAACATCATCTTTAAAGCCTAAAAAATAATTCGTCTCCTGGTCTCGACTTTATATCTTCTTTATTTCTAAAGCAATGTTCTGATGCTTTAGCTGACCCACTATATAAGTCTTCACACTTCATTACTTCATTCACCACACATATTTTGCCTCCTATATGGAAAACCGCATCTGTAACACCGATTTTTAAAAAAGAGAACAAATTGGATCCTAATAACTATCGTCCTATTAGCTTAACACCTATAATATCTAAGATAATAGAATCGATTATTGCCGAGACAATTTCTGATTTTCTGCAATATGAATGGTGTGTCAATGAGTGGTCAAGAGTATTAGACAGATAAGCCCGGTAGACATTATTTACCTCGATTTTGGTAAAGCTTTTGATTGAGTTACAAAGCGAAGACTATTACATAAAATGAAAAAGACAGCAAATACTCGATTTCACGCAAACAATCCCTATGTATCTGTTAATACGTATTTCGACCTAAGAGGTCCCATCAGGACAGCTATTCATAGGTATTCTCAACGTGAAAAATCAATATTTTCTGTCTTTTAAAAAGCAACAATAAAATGGCTTCAATACGGACGCGATAGCGACATCTAATTACAAATTCGAAACTATTTTACGGATTTTTACTATTACATAAATTGGAACACCTTGGTATCCGTGGTCAATTACTGAAATGGATCGACGCGTATTTAACAGATAGAAAGTTTTGTGTTAGAGTTCGGGACTCTTTCTTAGTTAAAAGAACGGTTTTAAGTGGGGTACCGCAAGGATTAGTTTTGGACCCACTTTTATTCATAGCATACTTAAGTGATCTACAATTACACATTAAATGCAACAAAGCTTTCTACGCAGATGACACCAACCTATTTTTCGATCTTTCCGTAAATTTTCAGTTACTACAAGATGATCTTGATTGCATATCGGAATGGTGCTCTACTTGGATGCTGCCTCTTAATGTGGACAAATGTGTAGTTCTTCACATGGGTAAAAATAATCCGTGTCTTCCTTACTCTATTAATTGGCGCATGTTAAAAACAATGAAATCACATAATGATCTAGGTGTTATAATTAATAACAATCTAAGTTAGTCGGAACATTTTGCATATTTCTAAAAAAGCTAACAGTAAACTATATCTACTAAATAAAACATTTGCGAATGTGTCATTTATGAACTCAGTTTATCTGTATAAACTTTACATTCGTCCAGTTCTGGAATATTGCGGAAGAGTTTGGTGTCCGGTGTTAGCGCGCGATCGTAATGTTCTCGAAAACGTACAGCGGCAGTGCACTATAATGTTTTTTGGTCGCTCAAGACCTAGGCATACAGAAATACTGAATATATCCAATCTCACTACATTTGAACAACGTCGACTTCGAGGCGATTTAAATATTACGTTTCGGATAGTAAAATACAACTTTGGAAATGTGGGGGATATGTTTATACTAGACAATGACAATTGTCTTCGTGGCCACAAACTTAAGTTTAAAAAGGAAACTTTTTTAACAACTAGATAATTTTTTCTCTGTAATTGAGTGTTCTCGATACGGAATAGCCTTCCGGCTGATAACATAGATGCTCTATCTGTCAATATTTTCAAAAATAAACTGGCTGACCATTGGCTCCATAGTTAAACATTGAAATTATACTAAACACTTGCTATTACCTATGTTTTTGTATATTTATTTAGTTAGTTAGTGCTTAATATGTAACTATTGTAATGTAATCATTTAATGACACACTATATAACATTTTATTCACATGGGCATATGGGTTTTGCGAACACTGCTCAAATTTATTGTAAAATAAATATACAAATAAATAAATGATATTTACTTTTATTAAAACTAATGTATACATTTTTTGTTACAGCCCAAAACAAAATGTTAAAATGGACGGTAATGGGCCGTCGCGACCATCCGGACGACGGCGACCCAAAACTGCAGCGTCCTCTATCCGTCGAGTGCCCAATGTTAACTCCGAGCTTATCGACGCCTCATGTCCAAAAGACGGCCTCGTCGGCGAAGCGGCGGCGGTCCAGCACAGCGTTGCGACGCCGTCGCTCTTCCGGTGTCGGCACGTATGCGCGTTCCGATCGTGGTGGACGCAACAGTTTGGACGGCCTGATGGACGCCGAGAAGGAGAATAGATTCACCTCGACGCCTATTAAGACAGGAACGGCATCGGAGAATGGAGCTCTGAGAGATGTCGGGAATTTGACGCCGAATGTTAAAGATAAACACTGGGAGTCTGTAAGTAATTATAAAAATGAAATATTTTTTCCCATGTGTTTTAATATTGGTCCATTTCTTATGTTAACACTATTTCCTTCTCTTCCATTGTATAAGATTTAAATTTACCATATTCCCTTATTAAATATGAGACAATAAAAAAAAACGATTATTTTTGTATTATCATTAAAAACCTAAAATGTTAGGGATATCTTCTGTTTTTCAATCAATGATTGGATATGGCATATTATGTTTAACTTAAACTATCTTTCCTTTCTTTTAACCACGAAGTCTTTATCTGCTTTACTGAGCAATCTATGATCCTTTTTCATTTCTAGAAGCCGTCTGTTTTACATTGGTCATCATCATCATTAGCCATTTTGCGTCCACTGCTGAACATAGGCCTCCCGTAAATAATTCCATTGCATCCGATCTTGAGCAACTTGAATCCAGTTAGACTGGATGCGCTTTAAATCGTCCGACCACCTTGTTGGAGGACGTCCTCGACTACGATAAGCATCGTGTCTAGGCCTCCACTCTAAAATTTTCTTTGTCCATCTTCCATCTCTGACCCTAGCAACATGTCCTGCCCAGTTCCATTTCAGGGTTGTAATTCTTTCAACTGCGTCCGTCACACCAGTTTTTCTCCTTACTATCTGACTCGAAACTCTGTCCCTGAGTGATACGCCCAGATTGACCTCTCCATCGCTCTCTGTGCCACTTGTATCTTATTAATTACTTTTCTGGTAAGTGTCAATGTTTCTGCTCCATATGTCAGAACTGGAAGTACACACTGATCAAAAACTTTTCTCTTCAAGCACATGGGAATAGCTGATTTAAAGACTTCCCTCAGTTTTCCGTATGCTGCCCATGCCAGTCCTATTCTCCTTTTTAACTCTGTTGTTTGATTGTCTCTTCCCAATTTAATCTCGTGGCCCAGATACTTATAGGAATACACTTGTTCAATTTGCGTGCCATTAGTGGAAATGTTTTTTGCCAGTACCAGGTTGGTCATGTATTGTGTTTTGGAAAAATTAATTTTAAGGCCAACTCGTGCACAAGAGCTCTGAAGGTCTTGAAGAAGTTGGCATGCATGATCTACCTGATCTGCAATAAGGACTATGTCGTCTGCAAACCTCAAGTTGTTCAAATATTCCCCATTTATATTTAATCCAATATTTTCCCAATAATTTTTTCTCATAGCACTCTGTAATAGGGCGGTGAATAGTTTAGGAGAGATAGTGTCTCCTTGCTTAATACCGTTCTCCAAGGGAAATGTGTCTGTGTCACCATAGTACATTTTTACAGCAGCTGTTGCGCTATCATATATATTTCGAAGAAGAGCTGTGTACCTATGGTCAATACTGCACTCTGTAAGAGCTCTTAACATGGAGCTATGCTGGACTGAGTCAAATGCTTTCTCAAAGTCTACAAATATTAATATCAATGGCTTGTTGTATTCTATAACTTTCTCTATTAAGGATTTTATTACTTGTAGGTGGTCATTTGTTCCAAAGCCACTCCTAAATCCGGCCTGCTCTAGAGGTTGATGAAAATCTAGCTTAGGTCCCAGTCTGTTAGTAATTATTCTCATAAAGAGTTTATATAAATGAGATAATAAGTTGATAGGTCTGTAGTTGCCAATTTCTGTTACATCTCCTTTTTTATGCAATATTATCATAATGGCATTATTCCATTTTTCTGGCGTATTTCCTTCAAAGAGGCAGGCATTATAAAGGGTTTTTAAAGCCTTTATGACGCATTCGCCTCCTAGTTTTATCATTTCACTTACAATGCCATCTTCTCCAGGTGTTTTGTTGTTCTTCATACCTTTTAATGCTGACTTAATTTCCTCTTCGGTTATATCTGGAAGTTCCTCTGACCCTTGATTTAGTATTGCTGGAATTTCTACTTCGGGAATGTGATCATCTCGACTATATATTGTTCTATAGTACTCTTCGATGATTTTTAGTATCTCTTGTTGTTCATGTATGACATGTCCTTGATTATTTTTTAACTTATAAATATTCCTCGTTCCTATTTTCAACTTTCGTTTTAGAACTTTTAGGCTTTTGTTTTGTTCTACGGTATCAGTTATTTCCTTAGTGTTAAAGTTCCTTATGTCTTTCCTAATGGCTTTTGAAATGGTTTTGTTTAAATTCCTTAGCTCTGCAATGTTCGTTGTATGCTTTTCTTTCATTTCCCTTCTTTTTTGCATTAGGTTTCTTGTGTCTTCTGTGAGTTTTTCATTTTTTGTTGAGTGCTTGGCTTGGCACTTCTTCTGTGACTTCTTCAGGGCTTCTACCAATTTTTCGTTAAACTGTTCAATACTGGTTTCATCTTGCAGGTCTTTCTGTAGATTACTCTTTATTTCTTCCTGGTATGCCCTGGTGTTAGTAATCGCAGTAACATTATTAGTCCTTGTTACCATATGTCTTCTTTCCTTTTGTATGTTTAAGACTATCTTCGCCCTAACCATTCTATGGTCACTTCCAGTTGAAAATTGATTTAATACAGTTACCTCTTGAACAGCGTCTTTTTTGTTAGTAAATATAAAATCAATTTCGTTCTTGTTTAAACCATTTGGTGATTGCCAAGTCCACTTTCTTTGGTCGCTTTTTTTAAAGTGCGTATTCATGACATATAGCCTGTGTTGCAGAAGAAATTCTATGAGAGTTTGACCCCTTTCGTTTCTATCGCCATATTCGTGAGGTCCAATTACAAACTCCGAATCATCTTGCTTGTGGCCTATTTTGGCGTTTAGGTCTCCCATCAGTATAGTAAAGTTGGCGTTTGTCTCTTGTATGGCAGTGTTAACGTCATCGTAGAACCATTCTACTTCTTCCTCTGTATGGGTACTAGTAGGTGCATATACCTGGATGATCTTTAACCGAATTTTTTCGTTTACTTTGTAGATAAGATATATAACTCTATCACTTATGCTTTTGATTGTGAGTATATTCTTTGTGTGTTTTTTATTTACCATAAATCCTACGCCACCATTGGAAGACTCTCCTCGATAATGCAATAGGTTTCCCGACGGAAGTACCATTTGTTCTTCACCCTTTCGCCGTACTTCGGACATTGGTCATACTGTTGCCAATTGGCTTCCCCTACAACTTTCAAATCCTCGGGAAAACGGCAAATAAACCATATATAAGCTTTCGACGAGCACTCAATTGATCTTTTATTTGGCCCTGGTGTACTCACGTGTCTTTTATCAAGGCGACATTAAACCTTTTCATAGCAAGAGTTAGTTCTGTAAAAGTTACGAAACCTATTTGGAAAAAAAGTCCTAGATCAGGGTCGCATTCCACTAGTCCCTTTATATTTCATTTGTAGACTCAGACGACTCCCTCATTTCAAGTTCTCTTTCTCAGAGTTCGCCTTTCTGAGGCAGCGGTTAAAAAATACTTTTCGCAATGCTTGCCATAAGCACGATGGTGCTACTACCTCAGGATTGAGGAGCTCAATATTCGCAACACAAATTTGACCGTATGATGAGCCATTTGTGGTGTGGCTGTCTGATTATATTTGCTTTTAAATGCAGGTTTTTATTTGATTACACTTCCTTCGCATCTATTTAGTTGATCTATATATCCATAGGACTTTTGCTATAGCCATTGTAACCCGGCCTGTGGGTGATAAGAACTTCGCCATTCAGTCAGTCGTGCGTGAAGTTATACTTATTTAAAAAAAATATCCTTTACATGGATGCTGACAGGAACGGATATAATGTTATTAGTGAATATCATAAGTATTCTAGGAACATTCAATATTTTATAAAAAAATGTACTTTCAAAAGCTTTATAAAAGGTTATATATTAGAAGGGGATTAACAATTATTATATTTTGTTAAGTTTAGGAAAATCTTCCCAAAATTTTTGAAAAACTACATACATATACAATATAAGTAGTACCTACTTCTTTTTCTTCACGTGCCATATCAGAATTATACGACGTTGGTGATCACCATTGCGAAAGCTTCTCGATCTTCTGTCATATTCAATAATTGTCCTGCATTTTTCTTTGTCGTGAGTCCATTCACGAATGCTTTTTAAGCAAGAAACTTGTTTTCTTCGTACACCTCTACGCCCTTCTATGTTGCTTTTATGAATCAATTGTGGTATCCTATATTGATTTCTCTTACTATAAGTCCAAGATAAGACATTATCTGGTATTAAACAGTCTATAGCAATTCTCTATCTTTGTTAGCCTTCCTTAGTACTTTCTCATTAGTTTTTCTTGCTGTGCCAGGTATCTTCAGCATATATAAACGCAATAAGCAGTACATTCATTGCAAATTAATTTTAAACAACTAAAATTTCAGTTGGAAATTTATGATTATACTTTTTGTAACCTATCCTTCCTTTTCCCTATTTGCTTCCTTTCGTTCATTTTCTACTTAATTGCTTTTTAATTTTTAAAACTTTTCCTTGTATTCGTTTTCTGTTCCTAATTTTTGTCATTTATCTTTTATTACCATAAGTATAATTTTAATTGTTTGTCATATTTTATATTTCTTATAATAACCTCTTTTTTTTTAGTTTTTGGCAAACCATCGAGCCCTCTCAGCAAGGAAACCCAAAAGTGAGAAGAAATCCCGCACACCAGTTACAAGCCCAAGACATCAACACAAGAAGAAAAAGGATTGTCTCAGCAATCACAATGATCTTTTCCTCGTAGATAGTCAAACGAGTAATTATTTTAGGCCTTTTGATACAGTTGATTCGCATATAGAAGCAGTGACTTCAGAAGATCTGTGTTCATGTAAAAAAAGTAGTTTTAGAAACATTAAAAAGGTAGTTACGGATTCCTACGCTCCAACATTGCCAACTTTCGCAAATGAGTATTCGCCGTGTTCTATGATGACGACGCATTGTTTAGAGACTTTAAATAGAAATAGTACTAAGAAATTACCACCAGCGGCCAATATTTTAGAAGATTTAAACCTTCCCCCGAATAAGAAGCAAAAAATCGACCATGTTAATGATTTTCTGCACCAAATATCTTTTTTAACGTCCCCCGAAACTGCCGGTTGTTTACCCGGACTTTCGAATCCTAGTAGACCTTATGACAAGGTTACCCCTCTAGTCAAAAAATTCTTAGATTTTAGATTTAGTAAAACCAAAACTGTAAATAACCACAACGATTCTTCCTATATTAATAATATGTCCTTAGATAAAATTGTAGATGCATTATTAGATACTAGTGATGATAGTATAAGGCCTACTGTGAAAAAAGATCTTAACAGTAGTATGGTTGTTAATATTGAATCGGAAAACGAAAATAATAATAATGAAGAAAACGTTGCAGAGATACAACGGCTTAGAGCAGAAACGGCATCAGAGCATTCTTCCGATTCTGGATTTAGGAGTTCAAATACAGAAAACTCTCACCAATTAGATAATAATTTTGTTTGTAAATGTAATAATAATGAAAAAACTGTTATACAAATAAACGAAACATACAATGAGAGATGTGTAGATGATTTTTCAAGGATAAGAAAGCGTCAAACTAGTCCATATTCAGAACTAGAAAGTAAGAAGTTACTTCTAGACAAATCACAAGAAGGTTTATTTAGTCTTCGGAGACAGAAAGGTATACGAAGGAGGAAACCATTTAGTATAGAAAAATCAAATTTGTTTAGGAATAACAGTGATTCTAATTCTAGTAAATTTGATTGTGAAGATACTCCAACAGTTCATTGTTATTTGAAAAATAAAAACATCATGAATGAAACTTTTGACGTTAAGACACCCATAGAAGCATATAGGGGTATAAGGAAATGTTTAAATTTCGACAGTTCTTCGAAAGCAGATGATTCTTCAATATATTCAGAAGGAGGATCGACCTGCAAAAACACCGATATTAGGGGAAGTATGGAAGTGAAGTTGTTCCCTAAAAATGGAAATCTTCTAGTAAACGGTAAGTTAAACTAAATATTATTAGTTTGATTCAATTAATATTTTATTTATTAATTTGTTTTTTATTTCCTCTTTTAATTTGCAATATCCATTTAAAAGGATTGATTTAAAAGAATATTATTAGTTTGATTCAATTAATATTTTATTTAATTATTTGTTTTTTATTTCTTCCTTTAATTTGCAATATCCATTTAAAAGGATTGAAATTTAACTTTGCTAGTCCTGATTTGCTAGTTAAAGTTTCAAATATTACATATCCTATCGCTTAATCAATTCAATACAGACATAATATTATTGGCATTGGCAAATTATAAAAGTTCTAATTTTCAAACATGCTTTCAAGTTTTTTCTGTGTATATGAAAATTTTATTTCCATTTCTTTTATTAAACTTTGAATTTGACAAAATTATGAGAGAAATTGTCATAAACAAAAACCCTTCATGATCGTGCTCTTTACATCTTTGTTAGTCCTTCCATATTTTCTCAGGCATATATTTGGCAGAGATGCTAGTAAAAATACAGAAAAAAAGAGGTATAAAATGAGTAATGGCAAAATAATAACATTGAGAAATAAGAATAAGATAAAAAATAAAAATAAAAGTGGAGTACGAAAATTTGACATGACTTGATATACTGAAGTTATTATGGATGTTTTTATAGAACAATCATTAGCTAACAAATAGTTTGCTTTATCCTGTACCACGCTCGTTTATCGTGCATCGGCTATCAAATTGACTAAACTAATTTTATTAACGGCAGCTCGGGAAAGGGAAGCAGAGGATGTTGCTTTCTTCATATACGGCGACCACTATAGAACATATGCGGACATCAGGAAAGGAGTATGGGTATATCCGTTCAATCTAGAATCCGCTGGTTTCTCCTCTTCGCATTGAACTTGTATATTATGACATAAAAAAATAATCAAGAAGCGTATAAGTATTTAAACAGTAAAATAAAACAGAGTATCATACATAAAGGGTGTTTCTTTTAGAGTTATAGAACTTTGAAATGGAATAAAACAAAGATGATTTTTTTAAATTGACATGAAATCAGTGACTGTAACGTTCTAGTCAGCATAGTTTTTGAAGAAGTACGAACCAATGATTCTACCAGCCCGTAAAGCACACCAAACAGTCAGTTTTTTTTAACTGTAATGGTTTCTCAATTGTTTGTTGACTAGATATTCAACCAAAAGTTAGCTTCGCCGTTCAACATAATTCGCTTATGAAAATCGTGAAGTACGGCAATCTAGTTTTGGGCCCATTCACAGCATGGACTTATTGTTAGATGATCATATATCTTTAATTCCTGCACGAGTTACACTTTGTAAGCAGCAAATCAAGATCTTTCCCCAAAATCTTCCATCAGTGGATGTACACATATCAAATTGCTTTGCACGATAACGGAGAGACTGATTCGGGTTTTTCTCTATGCTACGCTCTACAGCAGCAATAACTTCTTCTGTACGCAGTGTACGACGTCTGTGGATGCGTATTATAATTTAGAGCAAATGTGGTGCAAAAACATTCTATGGTTAATCGAATGCATTGCATTTTTAGACTATTATGTTGATCATAACATGGATGTAGTACGCGATACGTATTTCGAATAGAACCATAACTTTCAAAATAAATTTGCACGATTGGGAAGCCTTGTTCAGGGGTCAAGTCTATTCATGCTGAAATCCCAAACCAAGCTTAACATAAATCACTTGATAGCTGTCAAAATAGCCGACAGTTAAAAAAGTGTTGCCAACTTACATTTCTGTATCTCTAAAAAAACAGCTGTTACATGTATTTCTAAATCAACGATGTAAAAACACATATTTATTTACAGTAGAGAACAAGTTTACAAAGGTATTAAACAAAAGATAATAATACAAAACATTAAAATAAAACATTTTGACCCTCGCAACTAACTGGATAGGTAGAGTAACTGAATGGTTAGGCAATGGTTAACAATGTAATTTTGCAAAAAAATAGTGTATACTCAAACCTTAAATTACCACGATGCGGGATGCTGAGTGGCTGCTACCGTGCAGCGAAGAGACGTCTGTCTCACAGTAGACCAGGAACAGAGTGAAGAGTTAAGAGTTAAGATTGTCGATGGATCTTCTCTGAATGATTGCACATGGGAAATCCAAGTGGGCGTGACTATAGTACTGGAAATATAAGTGGAAGGGCCAATATTGCTTTATTTAAGCAAAAATTATTTCTATTTAATATTTATTTATTATAAAAAGTTGCCAACCTGCAACAGAGGATGTGTTAAACGATTCCCTTAGGTTTTTTTTTCGACTTGGCCCTATTCTTTCATCTATTTTGCTTTGTATTATACAATAAAGTATATTATATCTAAATATTTCAGTTTGTGATTTTTAACTGTTCTGACCCCTTCCGTAATTTTCTCATGCTTTGCAACACCTTCGTTCAGAATTCTATTTACCCAGTTTATTCATAGGATTATTCAATACACCCAGATTTTAAAACCTTCCAGTTTTATAAGAGGTGTATTTGTTAAAGTTCAACCTGACATACCATTTAAAAGAATGGAGAATACATAATATCATCTCAATCTAATTTTAAGTTTTAAAGTAATATTGGTTTCACATAAGATTTTCTTCGCCCTAAAAAAATCAATTCTGACTTTTTCTATACGCACTCTAATTTTTTTTCTCAATCTCAGATCTCATTTAGATTAGAACCAAGGTAAGTGATACTTTTGGTTCTCTCCAGATGTTCTACATAAGCTGTTACCACTTCTTGTTGCATTGTAGTGTTACTGACAACCAACACCTTTGTCTTTGTGATCTTTAGCTTCTGTTCACATTATTTACACGTTATCGTAAGGGGTAATACTATTAATCAGATGTTAAAGTACTTCGTAACTATAGTATTTGCATTTAACATCGTGTCATCCGCTTACTTCAAACTATCAATATTGACGATATTAATTTTGTTATCACATTAAACACTATCTCATGCTTTATTGAAGACGAACTTCAAATAAGTATTAATCATTAGTAAGGACAAAATGCAGCCCTGTATTACTTCTTTTCGTATTTGAAGCTCTTCAGAATTATCCTGGCCAATCCTGATGTTAGCACATTGATGCCAGTAAAAATTTTTAATGATGCATAGGTCTGTATCATAAATACCTACCTATTGCAGAATAGCTTTCATTTCAGTATATTTTACTTGATCGAATGCCTTCTTAAAACACATAAAACACATATAAACTAGATGGCCACATCTCTACATCTGTGCACCATAACCCGAATACTAAATAGTGCTTCTCTTGTTCCAAGGTTATTGTGGTATCCAAACTCTGTGTCACTAAGTTGTTTTACTTTTTGATGCATCCTTGAGTACAAAATTAAGAAATATTTATAACACATTGCATCAAGCTGATGAAAAATGGTATGAACTTCTAAAACAGATATAATTTCGTGATTATCTGTTGTATTAAATGAGATTGTGTTTATCTTGTTTGTGTTATACTTTCCCGTTTTTAAAACATTTTTTATTTTATTATATATTATATTATTTGTTATGTATTAATTATATTCAATGGCCAACAGTTCCTTCAGCAGTTCATATATATTTTTGATAGAAAAAAGTTTTAAAAAATGATGAATTAAATGACATTAAAATACAAAAATGTTTTTGTTTCAACAGTTCATATATTTATATATAGATAAAATACAATTTTTAAACAGTTTTAGAATCCAATGTACAAAATATCATCAATAGTTTATTTAGAATGTTTAAGCATATATATTAAAACTACTGTATTTATTTTTCAGTGATAAGCTGTAAAGACCTCTATCGTTGTAATGGAGAAAAAATCAACGCCTACGTCAAGGTACGTAGATTTTTATTAATGTTTAAAAGTTTAATCGGTCAGAACTAATTACTCAGTAAACAGAACAATACCCACCTTAGATACTGTACGCTTACCACCTTAATAACATAACATGTAATATATCAATCTGGAATAATAATTCAAGCATGTCAGCTTTTTTAATGGGCCTTCTGTTTCAATAATTTTGTGCCATCTGGTCAATTCTTTTGATTATATTATTGTGGTGGAAGTACTTGTCGGTGCTAATGGTCTGATTTCCAATTTCCGGAGCTTTAATCTGTCTATTATTTTTATGTTTGTGTACGTTTACGAGTAGAATATGAATTAGAGTTTTTAGTACAAATCGCTACCTGTTAACTGTTATATTGGCAGGTGGTGATGTCGTTTCAACTCCATATGTTGGGTACTGTTGTATACCGTAAATATATATATATATATATATATATATATATATTTATATATATATATATAAATATATATATATATATTTATATATATATATTTATATATATATATATATATATATATATATATATATATATATATATATATATATATATATCTGTACCTTGGTGCTAAAATAACCAATGTCAAAATTTCTTGTTTTGAGTAATTCAGCTTTAAAGATTTTCCTAAAACTTTCATATTTTTTTACTTCGCTTCAGTTATACTTTGCTCTTTGTGATTTAGGCATCTTTAAGGTGATTGATACCTGATTGTTTTTCTGGGTCTTACCCTAATTTATTTTAATTAGTTAGTTAAAAAATATTGACATTGGTTGTTATTGCATAGAAGTATTTACTACATGAAATAAGTAATAACCCCTTAACTGATGACATTGGTTGTTAATATCAATGTGTTTTTTCGTCAAAACCCGCAGTGTATTGGACTCAGTAATGAAATATAAACAATCAATTATTAGACATTTATAGAATAATAATTTTTTTAATTACTATTTAACTGGGAATAAGCCACAATTTTAAAGATAAAAAAATACGTTTATTGACGTTTCAATTTCCACTTCGGAAATCGTTCTCAAAATACAAACAGTAAATTAAACAAATTTTGTTTTTTGTTACATAGTGAAAAATTCTTCTAATAATTTAATTTTATCTGACTCATTTATATTGACAATTCAGACATACATTATGCATTTTAAAGTAGACGATTTTAAAATGATATTACCAATACTGTTGAGTTGCGCTCCTGGGACGACTTTACTTATAAGATAGTTCATTCGATTACATGAAATCAACTTTAACTTGAGAATATCCGTCAGAAAAAAATCATAGCATGTAATTCATCTTTAAATTTATTTTTTTCTGACGGATATTCTCAAGTTAAAGTTGATTTCATGTAATCGAATAACCTATCTTATAAGTAAAGTCGTCCTAGGAGCCCAACTCAACAGTATTGGCAATATCATTTTAAAGTCGTCTACTTTATCACAGTCTGAGCAAGGTATTTGATACACTACTTTAGAACTTTCCTTGGTTGTTAGAGCATCTTTAGTTTTAGTGTACAAATGTTGTATGGTTTTAACATTTCTAGTAGCAATTTTTATGTTTTTTATTCCTTTAAATAACTTAAGAAGTTTCGGTAATAAAAATGGAATATAAGGTAAAGATCCAAAAGTTTGTGGTGTTGTTGGTTTTAAGGTGTTAACTGTCAAACTTTTGTTTATTTCTTGGTTTGCCGTTTTTACTGTGATTTGTTTTTTATTGTTGGTATTGCCGATCAATGTGATGGAGTCTGGAGAGTTTGCAGTAGTAAAAATTAATTTATTGAGTAGGTCTACGGGATAAGAGCTTTCCATTAGTATGTTTTTTGGTCTTTTTAAACTATGTTCTCTACTTGTTGGATGATATAAGTAAAATTAATTAAGCGATGCAGGAAGATGTAAACAATAAATCGTGTCCGCACCGGTATGAGCTGCCGACAATGTCGGCAGACGAAATAAAGATGGACATTTCGGTTAGTTTTTAAATAATTTTGAAGAACTGTTACTTGCATTTATGCATAAAATATTCATTAATTTTATAAATCGGATTATTTTTTCACTTTATATGTATTCAGTGATAACATTAATTTATTTACTATGCAATAAACACGAATATTTGAGAAAAGAAAAAAATAATAAAGTGTTATAATTATACTGTTACTTATCGGAACTAGTAGGCTCATTTGGAACATCTTTAATAATTATCTGTTAAATTTATCGTTGATTATATGCCCTGCATCGCTTAATGGAATAAAATATAGTTACTCTGCTTTTCAGTCCCAAAATTAAGTTTATTTTCATTTTTGTAGGATGTTCAAAATAGTAATTTATGAATGGATACTGTTATTTTGTTCTCTTTCTACAGTGAATTTTAATTGGCTACTTTGGTTGTTAAAAATATTTAAGACATCAGTTAAGTTGTCATTGGGTACAGCTAGGATCAAATCATCTACAAAACGTTCAACAAATGGAATATGAAAAGGTATTGTTTTTAAACATTCCTCAATGAGATCATCAAAATCAAAATTGCAAATGATTGGTGATATTGATCTTTCCATAGGAGTTTATGTATATATAAGTATCTCTATATACTAACATTCTTTCTTATTTAATTCTAAACAGTACAGAAAAACACTGGAATAAGATCTAATTAAATTATACATTAAATTTAAATACATTGAAAGAAATGTTATACTTCCTTTTTAATACCAATATATGCAAATTTATTAACAGTTATTACAAATAAACCTATCTGTAACGGATGTTGGACACTAACATGGCTAATTTGACTTTGTTGACTGCTGCCCTGAAAAGTCCGGTAGTGGTTAAGTCACAGTATAGTGCTTTAAAAAGCACTATACTGTGGTTAAGTTAAAACATTTTCGCAGGTTATGCAGCCACGATATTCTTTTTCGTCCTAGACCTCTTTTCCCATGCACTTTACCTTTAAGTGTGGTCCGAAGTAGGTCATATCGTTGTTCATTGCGCATTATATGGCCCAGGTATTCCAGTTTGCGACGTTTTATGGTCACGCCATATAAAAGAAAGGACTTCAAAACGTTAGCTTCAAAACACTTAAAAAAGTGAAACTGTAACTTCTCCCAATCAGTATTCAGAGACCAGAACTTCTACCACCATTTAACTCTTGTTCACAAATTTCTTTTATACTGTTTCCCTCCCTCCCCACTGTCAAATTACATCATCATTCAAAATCTCTTTCCACCGTCTCTTTTTAGTCAATTACCTTTCGTATTCCAAAACCCCAACAAACTTTCCAATGTTACAAGAAATCACTCAACTTTCTTATTTTCTGTTTTCGATAAACAAAATAAACAAAGGACTGGAAAGTTTAGTGCAAGGACAGAAATAAATGGAAAAAATCACGACACACGCTATTATTAACATAAAAGAATAATCCACCTTACCCAAGAATAGGATTTTAAATGGGATGAAGTTAGCTATAATCCCTAGGTATTGTAAAACTTAATGACTGATTTAATGAATATCTTAATACGAACATATACATCATTATATACATTACAATTTATAATAATTAGTACTGTTAGTTTAAATTTAATGTACAAAGAATATATATTCATTCTAATATAATTAATTATATGCTTTATTACTGAGTTTTCTAATATAGTCTGTGATTAATTTGAATTTCCCCTGCGGATTGAATATATAGTTATAAACAAACGAAATTCAAAGGTCAATTACAGTTTGTCGTAATGTCGACACGTAGTAGCTCGCCGTATGCTTGCTGATAATGCAAAGACCAAAAACTATTTGTTTATTGCATGTTAACTCAATGAAAAAGAAAGTTTCTTTCATTGTTGCAATAGTAACTTCTTAAAATAAGTACCAACTTTCCATTTATGTCCAGCTGTAGAAATATACACCAAGTAAAAAGTTTACAGAACTCAAAGTTAGGCTAAATTTTGATTTCTTAACTTGAAATTTTTAATAACTTTTAAACTATAAACTATTTATATATAACATATATAAATCTCTTTTGATTGTAAATATCAAGAAATTTGATTTTATAAATTAAAAACAGATCGAATGGCAAGTTAAAAACTTGTACAATTGAAAATTTTCTGTAAACACTTGGCATCATAAAATTCGTCGAAGAGATAGTAAACAAAACCAACTTGCATCTATAATTTAAAAGAAACATTGCTGACGTTCAAGAAATCCACAACATATTTTTTATTCATGTTGCTTTACCGACAGTAACTTTTTACTACCGTTCTTTCATTGGCAAGTCGACAATTCTGAACACGATCTAATAAAACGTGAAACCAGCACATTTTTCCGTATTTACATTGCCAACAAAACATTTTGCGGCGCTTTCCTTCATTTTCCTGTGCTTTTAGTTAAATTAACACAACCACGTAACGAAAGTCTAACATGCAAACATTGATTTTGAAATACTCACTGTTTGTATTTTAAAACTAAGGATCTGATCATATCTACGTTGTATTTTTTCCTGTTGTGACCCTGTGTTTATGATCAATGATCTCAGATAAAAATATGAGCTTACAAGCTCAAATCGGTCAGTCGTAGAATTCATCATAAAAAAGTTTTATTGCATTCCATACATTCAGTATTTAACATTAAATACAAATTTCAATTATTTTATACCAGTTCTAGTATTACTTATACCTATATTCCGTAATTTGTCATTCATCATCATCATTCCTCAACCTCTTGCATCCACTGTTGGATATAGGTCTCCTCCATGTTCTTCCACTGTTATCTATCTGGCGCCTTCTGTATCCAATTTCCGACTCTTTTTCTCAAGTCGTCCATCCATCTTTTTGGTGCCTCGGTGTCTTTTGTCTTATCTAGGTCTCCATTCTATGAGTCTTTTGGTCTACCTATTATCATTTAAACGTGCTATATGTCCAGCCCATCTCCATTTGGCTTGTGCAATTTTTTCTATGACATCTGTCATTTAGTCCTCTCTCTCACTATCCTAGTTGGTACTATATCT